CGGCCGTCTGCGCGCACCGGCGTGGGCACGGGTGCGAGGAGCGGACAGCGAGAGGGAGAATGACACGGAACTTTGACACAGAAACGGGTTTCTAGCGTGGGGGATTTACCCTAGACCATAAAGCGATGCTCCTTGCCGTCGTGAGCCATGAGGATGACGTTTCGGTTGGAGGTCCAGATGAGCCGCGCCAGCCTGAGGGCGTTGTGGGAGCCCGGCGAGGCCGGCTGCACGGGGGGCACCTGGAAGGTTTTGATGCAGCGGAGCTGGGGCGCGGAGTTCAGCATGCCGATGCTCCCCAGGAGAGAGGTGTTCATCTGCGGAGACACCCGCGGGTGAGCCGCCCTGCCCGCGGGCTGCTGGGGAGGGACCCCCCCCGCCACACGCACCCGCACCTCCTCCCAGACCTCCCAGACTTCACCACCCGCCACCCCCGGGACCAGCGCTGTCTCAAAGCGGGCTACGTTAAAATCGTGCTAGCGTCGGGCCAAGCAACGCCGGTTAAGGGAAGGGCAGCACTGCGCTGGGTGCTCGGGGCGGTGGTTTATGGCCACGACACCCAACCGTGCACGATGGAAGACCTGACGGACTCGGTGGGAATGTCTTACTGTGCTCCTCACGGGCAATTTATAAAGGCACGTTACGCGTAAGCGTACGCATTCGGAATGTAAGGAAAAAAAGAGATATTAATAAGACTGTATTTATGCTAGAATATTATTAGAAATAAAATTAAAAAAACCCACTAGAACCGCAGATCTGCAGAGTAAAGAGCAGTCGTCACGATAGGTACGAACAGAAAAACCCAAGAGCTTCTGCAGTGTCGGGTAGCTGAAGAGGCCGTTCGGACGCGAGGTGTTGAGTTCTGCTCGTCGGAAAGCAGGCCAATTATTGCTGATGCACCTTCTCTAGCTCCACCGTTTGAAATAGGAGACTCTCTGATCTAACCCACCGAGACACACCAAGTCCTACACTTTCTGAAACGCTGCTTTACTCTCGAAAACCTTTCCATCCTCACGCATCGCAACCCCAGGATTTCCATCAGCAGGCGGCCGGCTGCATCCCTGAGACGTGCCCCGCGAAACCTTGGCAAACCCGGGGACATTTAAGGCGTGTTATTGCCGATGCCACGTCCTGAATTCTGATCAGTACAAAGTACAAGCCATTACTTTTTCCTGGCTCTTCTCGGCAGCAGAGCGGTGTCAGAGAGTGTAAATCACGGCATCTCTAGCAGGGAGCATGCAAGCACCACTGACATTTTCACAATTTAAATCATCTTGAGTAATAACCCTTTTAAGATGACTA